AAAGCAAAACCAACCAATTTTCTTTCTTATTACTCTCTCTATCTCTCTCTGTCTGTCTTTCTCGGTCTGTCTCTTCATTTTTCTGGCCCATTTCCCTGAGCCAGCCTTCAGCCTTATCTCAGAATCTAAGCCCTTGAGCTTTTTATATATTAATCCTGGGGCATCCATTCCATTTCATTTCACTTCAGCCTCATCCTCGTCCCCATCTCTGCCCTCAATTTAATTTTCACTTTAATTTCGAACATTGTACATACTAATAATATCAGGAGATACGTCCTCTGGCTTTTGGCCAATGTTTCTCCCACCATTTGTGGCGTTTTCAGATCTGGTTCCGCTCGGGTACGAGTATTGGCTGTTTGTGTTTTGTATTTGATATTTTTCTTTGCTGCTAGACTTTAAAGAGATTTTTTCCCCCACATTTGCTTTACACATCCTTGGTTTTGCTCTCTCCTGCTGCTGCTGTTGCTGCTGCTGCTGCTGGTACTGCCTTTGGCCTCCGGCTTTCAAAATAGTAATTTGCAGCTGCGAAGAGTCCAGTGTCCAGTGTTTACAGAGACGGCGGCGGGTCCAGTAAGTCTATAAGTAATAATCAACTGGCGACTCCTTATGACAGTTCTTTTGTGGAGGGCTTTTGGGTGCAAGAAAAACAAACAGAAAACTTCAATTACAGGCCAGAGACCAGGAAAGTCGAACCAAGGAAAATTCAAAGGACACTAGCTCGGTGGCGCAGGGAAGACGGTGTTAAGGGTTTCCCGGAAATGAAAACTGTATTTCCAGGGGCTGTGGAAACTGATGACTTACTTGGCATTGAAGGGTGGGGGGAACACCACCATTGAATGCTCTTTAGTTGGGTAAATATCGTGAAACAGTCTCACGAATTCCTGTCCATGGGCGTACACTAATCCTTCGTCTTAGCACATTCCTTTCCATGCAGCGATTTCGAATACCCAAAGAGTTTCTAATCTTTTGCCTTTGTTCGCTCCTCCCCCCGTCCAATCGGGGGAAACCGCTGACACGGCCAGCTTTGAGCATTCCTCGGCTAAATGCTAAAACATTAACTCGACTAAAGAACTTCATTATGGGGCCCAGAACAGAACAGAACAGACCAGGCCAGGCCAATAAATCTTCACAGTCGTGCTCTACCTTTTGACTCCTGCAAACCAACAATGAATCATAATGAGAGAGCTCGGGCCCAAAGACAAAAGGGCCAGAGAAATCAGCATTCAAGCAATCATACGGCCACACACACACTCGTACACTCGTACGCTTGTACTACACCCTTCTAACAGTGGGGGCCGAGTCGTTTTGGCCAAGTCGTAACATTGCGGAGCTGCGGCGTGTCGACAAAGCAAGCAATAAGGCGTAGCATAAATTAGCCAAATAAACGGAATGGAAACAAAGGCGAAAACAACTTAAATGTTTGCTAAGCAAATATTATCCCTAGGCCTCTGCGTCGGCCTCGGTCTCTGCCCGTCCTCCCCCACTCAGTCGCCTTGTCCGAGGGTTCTTGGTGTGAGAAAAGTCTCGTAAGCTCCCTCCGGCTATGTTTTTTGCTCCTTCCAGTCAGCCATGAAATGTCTTTATGCGTCGATTATCTCAACATAACCCGGGCCCAATGTGCAATTAACTGTGGCATCCGTTTTGCGGCGGGCGTGTCGCATCCGCAGCGAAATATGACATCCAAAAATATATGGCCTCAGATTTACGACAACAACTCAAATGGAATGGAAGTCAAGTGAAGTCAGGGGCTGCTGCTGTTTGGGTCATTCCAAACAGGAGTTTTATGTTTATGTTTGGGGGAGGTGAGTGATCAATCTTGGCGGCGGCTTAAACAGGGTGCTATGGAACATGATTAAACATGATTGGCGAATGTTGCTTTCGGGTGGGAGCAGAGGAAAGAATCAGGAAAGAGAATGATAGTAAAGGGATGGGAGATAATGATTCAAGCATAATTCCAACAAATATGGATCATATGTACATATGTACATATGCACATATGTACATACATATGTATGTAAGTTCTCGCAGCATTAACAAAATGCAGAGAACGTGATAAAGCTAAAAATAGACAAAGCTTATCTCTCACCTCTCTATCCGACAATAACATGTGCACTGTACTCTTCGCTCTGCACTGCCATGGAGTTCGTCTCTCTAACGCGCTCTGTCTGTCTGTCCGCCTGTGGAGTTCTTCGCTCTCTCGCTCTCGCTGAAGCTAATCTCTCTCTCTCTCTCTCGCTCTATCTGATGAAGGTGCTGTAAAATGAGATCATCTCGCGCTCTCTCGAGCTGCCGACAGCGCTGCCTGCCAGCAGCGAGATCAAAAGATAAGAAATTAGAAGAAAACGCACAACAGTTCGAAAGATTTGATTAAAGGGAACAAACTACAATCTGCTACGCCCATACCGTACTCTACTTTAAAGGCTTTTATTCTAATAAAAGTAAATTCCCTGCCACACAATCCCTCAATTATGCCTAAATTAGAATAACATATGGACCACCCCCGTTCTATAAAACCTTTCAGTGCTCTAAGCCCACACCAGCTTGTAATGCGCTTAGAGAGAAGCCAACATTTCCATACATACCGGAGTATAGGCTCTCTTCTGAGAGGCTTATGCCAGAGAACTCTCCTTCCACACGGCCTCCGGGCACAGCGCTCCATACCGAAGCACAGACGGAGAAAAAACGAATTGCCTTTAAATCGGCAGAGAAAAAACGTACATACATAAATATGATGTGAGACGCTTATCGAACTGAATTTGTTGACTAGTATTGCGAGCAGCTCCTCTGCTGCCTGCGGCACTACTCTCCTGCCACAGCTGCTGTCACCCACTGCACTTGAGTGTGTGTGCGTTCGTGTGTGTGTGTCATCTGGTTATGCAACATATTTCATGCCTAGGCTTTACGGTTGGTACAAGAACGTTGCGTGTGGCCCCAAATCAATCATACGCCAAAATCGACACAAACAAAAAACAATGGAGAAGAACACACACAAAACAACGAACAAATCCACCGAAACAAAGCCTGGGAACGTAATGCGATATTTTTTATTGATTTTCATTGTGTCACGGATGTGTGTCCCCCTTCCCCCTTTGGAAAGAGGGAGAGAGCGTGGGTGTAGGAGGGTGGACAATATGAAAAGCACTTGATGTTGTCAATATGCACTCCCCCCCGGCACTTGACTCCGAGCCAATGCCTTTCAAATGCATAAAAATCCTTTCAAAATGCACAGACCGCTTTCTGTGGCATTACCAAATGACTACGAAATGATATAATGACAGGATCGTGGCATAAGCTCTGGAGCTTTATATATACTGGTAACATGGATACAAAAGAAGGAAAACAATTTCAATTCCATATATTGATATTTCTATGGAATCTGCACAGCTTTTATGCATCTCTGATGCAGCCTAAGAGCCAACGAACTTTTCATATTTCAGATACCTAAATCTGTTCAAGGTATAGTAGTTGTATTTGTACAAGAGTACGAGTATAAGTATACGTATGCGTATACCATTGCCTTGGGTTTTCCCTTTTTTCCTATCATTGTTCTGTGCCGCTGTGTTATTTGTCTAACAATTTCCGTTGGCCTTTGCTTTTTTGACTCTTATGTGGGTCTCTGTGCGCTTCTGTGCTTCTGGTTTCCCATTTGTTACTGATATTTTATGACACTGTAAACATTTCACAATGCGTGCCAGCCATAGAGTCATGGGTCTCTAGTCGTACATACGACTGTGTGTCTGTGTGTGTGTTATCCATTCAATATGCTCAGCAGAGCATTACGAGCTTCTATAGCGTCGTGTCCTTGCCAAAGTCGTGTCCTGGGCCCTCTCCGAGGCATGTGCAAATATGTGAGTGTTTACACGAACCGAACTGCGGGCCGAGTATTATTTTCTGTCAGGTCTTTTTCTTTTGAGGTCAATTAAAAAGGGCTAGGCATACCATTCCATTCTATTCCATTATATTCCCTTCCACTACTGCTGCTGCTCCTGCTCCTGCTACTGCCACTGCTGCTCTGAGCTATCAATCATAGGCAGAGGAATTCTCCCTTTTTTGTGGCTGCTTATATGTAATTAGTTAAGCACCAACTAATTGAAAACATCTTAGAGATTTGTTTGGCGTTGATTAAGTGAACTTTTCGGACAGGCCATCCCACTGATATTTGTCCAAAAACTGACAACTTCGTGGCGGTTTCTCTGCGTGTCTACGATCAACCCATCATTAATTATCCAAACGCCTCTAGACTGGCTCCGGGTTACTCGTGCTAAGCCTGTGTCCGAAGGACATGCTCCATGCTCCCAAAAGAGTCCCGAAAACACGAAAAACATTTGCTGGAGAAATGTTGAAAAACTTCCGTGGAGAAGGAGAGGGAACAGTAGCAGAGGCAACTTGAGTGCTGTTTGTAATGGCATTGGGCATTGGGTGAGGAAAAATGCATAAAAATCGATGACCAGATGATTGAGACGATTGCCTTAAAGTGGTTACGATATGTATGGTGCAGCTTGGGGCTTGGGGGAGAGACTTGAGAGTTTTTATTTTTATTTCTGTCTAAGGTTGTCCAGTGCTCATATCTTAAAGATTTGAAACTTTGAGGCTTTCAGTCTTACAATCATTCACGGCCAAATAAAGGAAATTCTCTTTAAAAAATTGCACATTTAATGAGCTTTTCGAATATGAAACAATGACGTAAACAGCTCAATGGTATTTGAAAAGAATCTATGAAAATCTAGACTCAATTTAAGCTCTAAAAAAACAAAAAGACACTCAAATGCAACAGAATCCAGTGCATGCAATCATGACATATTTACAGATCCAAAACCATTCAAGTTGAACAAATTGTCTCGACAAAAAATTCACAAAAATATATGAAAGAAATGTATGAAAATCTGTGGCATATGAAAAACATTTAGCGACTGATTGAATTTGAGAAAGAACAAAATAAAACTTCGCACAATATATGGCAATCACTTTTCAAAGCTGTCATTTATCTGGTATTTTTTCAGGCTCGCCAAACTGGGAGGAGGCTGTTTTTTGAATGGGAGGCTTCATCCTCCACCACAAATCAAGAGAGAGAACCCAACCTCACGTCATGATCATCGCCGTGCTGTCAACGTAATGGAAACGGAAACAGAAATCTGCTGGAACCATTGCTGTTGCTGAGCGGAAAACCACAGGCCCCATACCACGGAAAATTGACAGAAGAAAAAAACAAGAAAGAGAGAGAGAGAAGCATAATAAAAACCGAAATGAAGTCTGTCATTCTATATCCATATGGACCGCTAACTGGCGGCACACGCTGCTGTCGCATGTTGCATGCCAAAAATTTGGCCATAACAAGTGCAATTTACACAATTGTAAGTATGGGGACGGGCAACAGGGCGTATGCGCAATGTGGACAAGTATATAATTATGTTCTCGTTAGTGGAGCATTCTGTCGGCACGGTGGCAGGGGGCAGAGGAAAAACAGGACGAAACAGAACGAAATCAGGCGAGAGTCCTGTTTTGTTCGCCGCTTAATTGTGGCGTAATTTATAGACAAGTGTCGTTGAGGCAAGTTTTTTCTGCAACAATTTTGAATATTGCATGGCTTACCTCAACCTCATTATGGGGCATGACAGAAGGGCATGACTCTAGCCAGAGTCAGGATACTGCTGTGCAACGGCCCTATAAAAGCGAGGGCTGTGCAGCGAGTTGTTGGTGGAGAACAGACCCGGCCAAATGGATAGACTTGCACCCGCTTCGCATCTTCCCTCTGCCGCCTCCCATCTTGTGGCACATATAAATTACAATTACATGATGCTCGTTATGGCTTTTAATTTATGTTAATGGCCAAATCGTGCCTCGGGGTTTTTATTTTTTCACTCATTTTTGCTTACAATGCGAGAGACAATACAGAAGGAAGGAATATAATGCAATGCAAGTTGTGGGGTGCGCCAACAATAGACACATTATATCCATTGCAATGCCCTTGCGGGGAAAGTAAATTAGTTTTTGTTTAAGCAGCGAGAGAGAGAGACAGCCTGAGAGAGAGCTTAAGTGTTTGGCTTCAGCAATTAGTGCCACATTTTATGGCAGGAGCTATTGTGCACGGGCAAGAGCAGGAGCGCCTTCCCTCTCTAGCCATCTATCTATCTACGAGTATCTATCTATTTATCCGGCAAGTAAGTAAGCGTTACGTGTTTAGCATAAGCCCGGATTGTGAACTATGGGGGGCACCATCTGAGAGTGCAGTCACGACACATAATGAATGTATCTTGAAAGCACTCCATTTTGCATTCTCTCTCTCTCGCCTTGCTCTCACCCTTGTGCAGGAAAACCCAGCCAACACGAAAGCATTTTCCCGGATTAATTAGCCACACAAGTCCCAAAACCCCGCAGCCACCTCACAGACCCTCTCAAAATCAAATTGAGTTCAGACCCGTTTAAAAGTAAAAACGTGTTGTGTAAAAAAGAGTAAAAAGGCAGGGCACGATATAGATGTTTTAGATGTTGATGACCCATTAACATATTTGTATGCGGGCGCACACTGCGTGTACTTTATTCATATTATTATTATTTTTTTATTCGTTATTATTCTCATTCGTTTAATTGTATTTCTATACCTTTTTTACTTAGAATATATCACTCCTGATTGTGCTAATCTACTCGTGGCGCATCAACGTCAATATGCACAAGTCGTCCGACCTGCAGGATGTCTACTACGGTAAGGCTCCAAGTTGCCCTAAATATTTTAATTGGTAATCAAATACATACACATACATTGCCTCTCGGATGTGGCCCAAAGTGATAATAAACCCATAAGCTGGAAACTGTGGCAGTACACACATAAAACATAAAGTCATTTTAATAAATTAATTGCAGATGAGGCCACCAGTCGTCCACAAAGCACTAATAATAATTTTATAATTTGATGAAATTTAAAGCATCTTTTAAAAAGAATTTCTTGTAATTTTAAACCAATGAAAAACCCATTTATTTCCATTTAACTCTCAGTGTCTATTGTTAGCCTTGATTTAACTGAAATTCGTTTTTGTTTACTTTGCAGGTGTACAAATAGCATATTTTGCCATAATTGGCACACAAATATCCATGATATTGCTAAGCATTGTATTGATCTTTGGCATTTGTCGGGTGAGTGCTCTGTTCTTGTTTGATTAAAGGTTTTGTTGTTGTACCAATTTTACAATACATGTCTCTGGCCCCCACACATGACACACACCCATTTCTCTGGCATACAAAAAATCGAACAGCATCAAGTCAAATATGTGAAAATTATGCACATTGTGCCCCTATCCGAGTGTGTGTGCCAAGGAAATGTTTACTCAGTTAGCAAACAAAGCGCACATTCAAATGTAAATTACACAAAAGCGTTCCATTTTTGGGAACGTACTCGTAGCATATGACATGCGTCCATGCTCAACCACCACACAAATTTCGAAATAAAACGTTTGACATGCCATACAAGAAACGAAAAATATATACCCTTGAAGCAATTCTCGTAAATATTGGGAACATTTATGAAAAGTAATAAAACATTTATAAGCTATAACTATTTCAAGCAGGGATCGTAGGTATTATATTTGTATAATACAAAATTTGCTTGTAAAAACTAATTTCATAACAAAAATAAAATAGCTTAAAATAAAAGTTCATAATACAAATAATTTTTGCAATTTAAAAAATAAAAATTAAAAATTGGTTTTGTTTATAAAAAAAATTATATTCAAAAATTAATTATGAACGGCTAGGTCTATCAAAAAGATTTTTTTGTATATATTTATGAAGCCCATCAAAAAGTTAGATATTTTTATATTTATTTAGTTTCAAAAAATTAATTTTACTTTAGATTCTCACGATATATTGCATCTCAAGTCCGATATTAATGCGATATTTCAGGCAGAAAATTCTCTAACCTAACGCTTGTCGAGGGCATCGCTGGAATATAACATTTCCTAGGGCCACACCAGCAAACCCCCCAAAATGCCATTGACAGCGGCATGAAAATGTAGACAATTTGTCACACAATTGGGAGCCACCGAAACGGCTAAAATGGGTACGGGAATGGGAATCCCTGCCTGGACGGACTGAGCACTAGGCTGAATGGAGCCCAAGAGCTGAGTGGCGGAGTGGTGGGGCCAGAACACCCGTTGACTGGCGGCGACACATGACAAAGATTACACAACCCCCGAAAACTGTTTGGGTTTTGTTGTCGCCGCGCAATTGCGAGGGCCAACATTTTGTGGAATTTTTTAATTTCGGCTCTGATAGCCGAAAAACAAGAGCACGGTTTCGCTCCTAAATGTTATGGATACTATTTCCAAATGCGAGTGCCAGACGTACTTGTGTATGGCTACATGGAGCCCTGTATTGGTGAAATTAATTGCAGTTTGCTTTTAGGCGCCGAAGCCTTAGTGCCAGATCTGAGAGTCGGTCAGAGTGCTGGCCTATGGTCCATTAAATAATGCATAGGGCATTGGTCCTTAATTAGGCTAAACGAGTATTTGGACAGCAAATGTGTGAGGGCGTTGCGGCTAAGAGGCTGTTGCCAGGGCTTAGAGCTTAGAGCTTATATAATACAACAACATGTAAGGGAAATTATTTAGCATACCTCCAGGAATCGGACACAAAAGTCCCAATAATTACATGTTTTCAAAGGCACTCCGTTTTCGAATTATTTTTGGGCATAAAAACCATGTACAAATTTAAATATTCATCTCAATTTATGGACGTACCCTTTAAGTGAATAAAAGAGAATTATTTTTCATAAAATTTGTTACATTCAAAACGGTTATTGAATTATGTTATGTTTATGCGTGAACTGCAGAACAAAATTCTATAACTGAGGGATATATTGTAATAATATCCATATTAAAATGTTGGCTTCTGGCAAAAAATTCTATGGGCCGAAAAACAAAATAAAAAAAAAGGTGACATGCAAAACGTTGCGGCCAAAAAACTGTCAGCAACCGCTGCACATCAAATTTCGTTTAAGGGAAAATTTTTAAAAATTTGTGGCACGCGAAAAAAGGAGCAACAAAAAAATCCAATCATGGGTTTTACCACCATGGCAAGATAAATTACACCGCACTCTAGAGCACCCCCACCCCTAGCCACACTGCACTCCCCATTGCACCCACTCAGTGGCATATTTTATAGTATAGCCATGAAATCAATACCCTCGATTCTATACAGGTGCCATCGTACTCTGTGTGCGGGGCTGCTCCTTTTTACTGTATTTTCTAATAGCGGAATTGTTTTCCCCTCTTCTTGAATTCCTGCAGGAGAACCCCGGATTAATTGTACCCTGGATAATTGGCTATATAACGTTTATGGCCTTGGAAGCTGTGGCCATGGTCTACTCAAATGTTCTACGCGATCATGTTAATAAGGTGAGTGGCAGCGTTCTCTGTCTCTAGAGAGAGGCATACCTGTGGGGGGTTGGCCAGAGAGTGTTTTTAATGCATATTTAAGATGTTTTCATTTCGATATTCTGTTCGGTAACCATTTGTTTAATGAAAAGCATCTCGCTACGGCAAAGGATTTCAGCCACACTTGCTTGGGGTTCCTTGTTGTGCGAGTGTGAGTGCGAGTTCTTGGCGCCTGGCATAAATCAATTGGAATCAACAACAAAAGCAAAGAAATAAATTAGAAAAAAGCCTCCAGGCGACAGCAGCAGCAGCCACAGCCACAACAACAACAACAATCAAACCGAATCCGTTACATATGTAAAAAAGTTTCCAGTTTCCTTTATGCAAAGACCAAACAAAAGGATACGACAGACAGACAGACACAAACACACGCCGCGTATACGTATTCACAGTACTCGTAGATACATGTATATGTAGATGTAGGTTATGGTCGGAAATGGGCGACAGTTGGATGCACGGCTGGTGTAAAACAGTGAGTGGAGATTGAAAAGCAAAAATAAAAGCAATGTGCAAGCAACAGGCTGGGCATCGAAGGGCGGAACACGGATGCCGCTCGGAGGAAGATAGGAAGAGTTCCTGTAACAAAGATTAAGAAAGGGGACAGAAAAAGTACTATGCCTTCACTCCGAGAAAAATGGCAATACAAATATATTTATATTAAATATTCGGTTTCAGAATTCACTTTGATTTAAACATAAATGTAGTCACGAGACAAAAATTTCTATTTAATAGAGAGATATTTCATTTGTAGGAAATATATTCAATCTAAATAAAATATTTTTATATTAATCTGAAAACGTATAATCTATTGCCAAAAATATTGAAATCTAAATGTAAATATTCGAGTCTCAGGGCGTTTTTTTCTCTGTGTGTTTTTATGGCAATAAATTGTATAAATTCCAAAGGAAATTCCTAAATCACACCTAAAAGGAACCCGCCCAAAACCATGCAAGTTAGCTCCTCATTCGTCTCGCTTTTTCTCTCATCCATGACTTGAAGCCTCAGGCGGCACACTCGCTTTGATAGTTTGTTCCTCTTGACTCGGCGACTCCTTTATTCAAGCAATTCAGCCACAGCCACTGCCAAAGTGCCTTCTTCTAACAAATGAAGCGTAGAGAGCTCGAGTCCCACACACAAGAGGGACCCCCTGCCACGCAACTACACACACACACAGTCAGAACAAGCGACAAAGTCAAAGCGGCACAAAGCTGGGGGTTACTTGGGTGTTAGAGCTAGGAGGATAGAAGGATGGATGGCTGCCTGGCTGGCTGGTTGGCTGGATGGATGGTTAAGGGACCTGAAACCCACACCCACACAGACAGCACCCCTCCAAAAAACTCAGCCAAACGTATCCACACATCTGCTATGTAGATCTTGTCCGTCTCCCACATATGCAATGAGTTGGGGCATTTTTCTGCACCATTTTCCTTTAGTATTTTTACATTTGTCTATGTCGCCTGGCATTTGTATTTTTTGTCCTGTTTGTTTGTTTTTGTTCTGCGTTCTTTCTATTGCGAACGTGTCCTGCTTTTTGGATTGTATTTGTTTTGTTTTTCACCTAACCCCCCACCCCCCTCAGCCCCACAGCCCAACTCCACCGGGGGCGGCTGGAAAAGTTGTTGGAAAATTGTCACCTCATGCATAATTTATTGCAATTCTGAAGGTAAAAATTCACATTTCTCTCTTTGGGCCGGCCGCCCCCCTCCCCCCAAAAAAGTTGAATGGAGGCGCAGCGTGGGATTTGCTAATTTGTTGTTTGGAATTTTGGTCCAAAATTTCAAAATAATTCCAGTCCAGCGTTTGGGAACACTTTAAGGGCTTCCTACTAAATCTTGCATACGAAAAGTAATATTTAATTACGGAGCATTCAATTCAACCGATCCGCTCCTGTCCTGAGCAAAACTTTTCAGTTGCTTGCACGGAAAAACTTTTTCCTTCCAAATTGCTTTTGAAAACAGAAGTTTTGTTTAGCTTTAGGTTGGGCTTTGGATTTTTGCTTTCGTAAAAACTAAATTATGTATTTGCAATTCATAACAAAATATTCTTTCATTTGCAGCAATTCGATGCCATGTGCAAGGCGGAGGTGGCCTTCTTCATAGCACGAGCTCTAATCAATGTAAGTAAGCAGATAGCTAATCGTTTTCCAAATAGTATATTTAATAGGGAAATACAAACCAGCTTATCCTAGCTTTAATTTAAAGAGAGAATCTAGTAGAGCCACATCGAATGCACACATGGCCTGATACACATTTCCAGTTTTACCTAGATTAACCAATATAATAATGACAGTTTTGGCAGACTTTTGCAAACACCATAAGCTGCCAAACGCAATGCACAAATATGGTAATGGATAGAGAGCCAGATACCACTGAAAATGCTTATTCAGATTGTGGAGATCTACAGACTTACCATCAATGCAGCGTAGACACCGAGAATCCAAGATCCACTCGCTATAAATCGATGGGTACAAAAACTAAATAAGCTGCGATTATTCCATAGCATACCATCCAATAATGTAGGGAACACAAATATCATAGCCGCTCGATATAGAATTGGAGGCCCAAGTGCCACTTCGTTCCAAGGGCCAACAGAGCCCAGAGTTCTCATGGAAACTTAGGCCTACCCATCACTCAAACCGAATGGCCTGACAATCGAGGCGCTAATTACCTTGTCCAGGACTTGATCAATATATGTAATAAATAATTGAATTACGAGTACAAGCCAAATCCATTAGGTCCCTTGAGCTCCATAAAAATGTTTGCTTTTCTATGTGTATGAGTATCTGTATCTGTATAATGGCCTTTGAACTAATGGAAATTTACGCGCTCTCTCTTTCCTTTCTCCATTGCCATCCAAACAGGTGCTGGCCATGTGGGGTGTACTACGTTTCTATAATTTGGTGCGCTCTGGAATTACCTGGCGAGGACCGGAGGTAAGTCAATCCATCATAAGTTAATGGATATATGGCTGCAGTGAACTGGGGACTTGTATAACGTTTAAATATCATTTGTTCAGGGCAGTCTCTGTAACAGAGCGCCAGGGCTGTTAACAGGTTAACAGTCTGCTACCGCTACCAGTTACGGGGTACTGTTAGCGATCCACACAATCCACACGATCCACAAAAACAGCTTCTCATATAGATATTTAACGTGCTTTATCCTTTATTTTCGACAGGCCAAGACCGCCATATTCGCACCCATGTACAAGAGCGTGAGCACACGCAGCGGCAAGTCCCACCACAGTAAACGTCACTCCAAGAGGCGACACAGCATGGAGGCGGGCGCCGGATGCTGTGCCATCTTTGACTTTGACTTCGACTACGATGACGACGACGACGATGAAGATGATGATGATGAGGCAGCCTATGGCGATGGCATGGAGACGGAGGATGATGTGGGCTATGACTATGACGACTACTATGACTACTACGAGGACGAGGAGGAGCAGCAGCAGCAGCAGTTGGCGCTAGAGCCGCAGGACGATGCCGACTGCAGCATGCTAGGTGGCCCAAGGAAGACGCGGTCGCGTTCGCGACCCCGATCCCGTCCCCGTTCGGCTGTGGTCAAGGTGAAGGGCCAGCGCAGCGGAGGTCGTCGCACCAACAACAACATACGCAGCGTGCTGATCAACAAGCGGCACAACAAGTACAAAATCGCCCGACCCCAAACCCAGCTGGAGGTCATCAACGAGTCCGAGCGGAGTGCGGGCAGTGGCAGCGATGAGAACGACTCTCTGCTTGTGGCCTATGACAGCAGCTCGTCGCTGGCGTCGGTTTGACATTGGCCGCCGCCATGCGAACCCGGATCCGGACCTGGAACTGCAGCCGATGGGCGCAGGAATAGCCTCAGTGACTCCGAACCCAGCAGCGGCAGCGGCAGCGGGAGCAGCAGCAGCAGCGACGACGACGACGACGGCGATCCTGACGAGGGCCAGTATCTGGAATGTGAGTGGACGAAGGGCGTCCGCTTCCCTGGTAAATGTGGTGGTCAGCGTCAGCGCCGACGTTCACTGCGACGCGTCTACTGCGCTGTGAATCTAACCATAATGGGTCTCCTGGTGGCAGTGGAGATCTATGCCCAGATAGCGATATTCCTGTAGATCAACAAAAACAGAGAAAAAGTGATCAAAGGATTGAGAAGAGTTGAGAAGGGACCTTCATAGCAGATTTCCCTTGGAGGGGCGGTATTTTTTTGAAGGATACCATATAGATTCAGAGGAATCTGTGTTATCCGAACAAGGCATTATTCCTGAAGGTAAGGATGGGAACGATGATAGCTTTAAATGTATATAAGTTAAAGGAACTATATCCGATTCAGCCTAATCCTATCTTACTGTTTCTCTGTGTTTTAAATTTAACCACAAACAAAATACTTCCCATACGATCAAGGCTCAAGATCTAAGAGAGAGCTTATAGCAAAAACTATAAAAATACCCAAAAGAATTGATGTAAATAAATATAACTATGTATGTATATGTTTCCAAAATAACAATATTATTCAAGCCAAATAGTACGATCAGAAACCAATATAATTGCGTAGATGAGAGCTCCCCAAAAAGAAAACTTACCAACATACATACATACATACATATATGATATATCATTGTTTGTGCTCTCTACCGATCGTACCATAGATATATTTTGTACAAAGATTCCCAGATCGGGAAGGGAAGCTTTGAAAGTATTATAACAAGAATCCAAAAATAAAGTAACTGCAACAATAATAATTCATAATAATAAAGAACTTATCTGATTTAACTTCCAATTAAAGTTGGCCAATAAATGTTTAAAAATGTTTAAGAATATGTACGGTGTATATATAGAGCTCTGCAGGAAACTCGAAAATGATATCAGAAAACAAAAACAATAATCATATCTGTAGCCGTTGTACATACATACATACACACATACAAACATACACATACACAAGTAATCTTAAGTACAGTTGCGCCAAAACACACACAAAAACACCTAACTAACCAATAAACGTGTATCTGTAAACCGAAGAAAAAGAATAAACCATTGATATTTGTGCAAAAACAAAAGATAGATGGAACGATTCTTCAACGGTTCAAATCAAAGGGAAACGTGAGGGGCACGTGACGTACTCTCGTACGTAGCTCTATCCCGGTAGCACTTCATTTAGTCGGCCCACTCAATGGAACTGGTCTAATCATGGCTAAGTTTTTTCGTGATTTCGCCAAACTAATTAAATGATAATGCGCGGGAAGAAGTACTCGTACCCGTAACTCGTTTAGGGCACGCGAAACACGTGAACTAATCAGTAGCATCGCCAGATTGGTACTTAAGGGTAGTAGCAGCCAGCCACACATTGGGGGACCCAAGAGACATACCAGCCCGGCGATATCTGCCCAGAAACATGACCGCAATCAGGGGAATCTAATCAGGCATCGGTGGTGGGCTTTAAAAGCGCCTGGGCCTGCCTTGGGCCCAGTCAGTAGCGAAAGCGAATTATGAAGGGTTTAGCGTTGATTGTCTTGAGTGCTGTGATCTTGGCCTGTGGCCAGGCGAGGATCCTCCAACAGGAGAAGGATCTGTCATGGGAATTGCCTCTTCCCGTTCCCCTAAATGGAGACATCGAAGGTAGAGCCGGTAAGACTGGACAAAACACAAATGCCAAGCAGAATTACTGAGATCCATACCCCCCATTTAGCTGGATGTTCTATCAAGATCCGTGGGTCCGAGCTGAAGGATCCTCAGCCCCTGCTTATAAAGCCGGGTACCTCCGATTTCTTTGGCTATTCTGACACCGGCGTTGTCGATGTAGAAAAGGACAAGACTATTGAGTTCCACTGCACCAGCAGCCTGGCCTCTCCCCTGTCCGGCAAGTCGGTGACGGCCAAGTGCGTGGAGGGAACCACCTTCAGGATCGGCGATAAGGACCACGATGTGTCCGACATCAAGTGCAGCTCCTGGCCAGCTTTTGTGGGCAAGAAGTCGGGATCCAGCTGCAATGGAGGCACCACTCTCATCCGCGTGGGCTTCGAGTTGGACGGCGGCCGTTTCGCCACGGAGTACGAGGTGTGCTTCAACGAAGACGAGGAGGTCACCCGCTATGTCTACCACACTCTGGCACCCGGAAACAACTACTACGCCACGGGCGTGGATCGCATCACCTTCGGCGCTGGCGGCTACTTTGCCGGCAAGAACGTGGACAAGCTCTACACCCAGGTCACGCAGAAGGAAACCATCGACAAGGAACTGGACATGGATTCGGCCCGCTACTTTGATTCGGCCAAGAATGTGTTCTTGGCCCGTGGTCACATGGGTGCCAAGGCCGATTTTGTCTATGCTCCCGAGCAGCGTGCCACATTCCTGTTCATCAATGCCGCTCCCCAGTGGCAGACCTTCAATGCCGGCAACTGGGCTCGCGTTGAGGACGGCGTCCGCGCCTGGGTGTCCAAGGAGAAGAAGCATGTGGAGTGCTGGACCGGTGTCTGGGGTGTCACCACTCTGCCCAACAAGGATGGCAAGCAGACCGGCCTGTACTTGGCCCACGATAACAACGGCAATGGTCTGATTCCCGTGCCCAAGCTGTACTTCCGCGTGGTCATCGAGCCCTCGACCAAGAAGGGCATTGTCCTGGTCGGCGTCAACAATCCCCATCTGAGTCTGGACGAGATCAAGCGCGACTACATTCTGTGCGAGGATGTCAGTGACAGGATCAGCTGGCTCAGCTGGAAGAAGACTGACATCTCTGCCGGTTATTCCTATGCCTGCGACGTCGCCGAGTTCCGCAAGAAGGTCGATCATTTGCCACAGTTCGCTGTGAGTGGCTTGCTGGTGTAATTAAATCATTCTCCCTGTCCTCCTATGATTTGTCAAAGCAGTCTATTAAATACGTCAAAACTTGTCATGAACAATCGAAACCTGTCGGATTTTATTATCCTTCCCTGCCTGATTCTACTGGCTTCCGATGCGGGCATAACTGATGTAAGGGTCAAACGATTATCGGAACCTACGATTGACAATAAAACAAGCATCTTAGCCAGATATGTGGTCTCCCTGCGAACGAGAACGCCCTTCAGATACTATGGGGATAATCACTTCTGTGGCGGAGTCATTATATCCCTCACATTCATCATGACCAGCGCACACTGCCTCATAGAGTGCGTATAAAGGGTTAGGCACCCAAAAGTGCCACAGAAACTAATACTCTTCCTCGACCAGCAGCAGTCAGAGGCTCATGCTTTCGAGCAGGGACATCCTTATTGTGGCTGGGGCGCCCAACAGGCTCAAGTATTTCAGGCATAAGAATGTCCATGCACCAGTTGCGAAAATTTTAATTCATGAAAACTTCACCATATACAACACCAACGATTTGGCGCTATTGAAGCTGGTTGAACCATTGCCCACGGACAATCAATATATAGCTGTGATGAGGTTACCCACAGAAGAGCCCAAACTGGGTAATAAGTACACAGTCCTTGGCTGGGGTCGACTCTTCCACGTGAGCATTATCCATACCCATGGATATTTTATCTACAACACGAGTTCTGTCTTTTGCTTAGGGCGGTCCATTGGCATCGGACATCACACAGATCACGGTTACGCTATATAGCCACGTGGCTTGCGAACTGATGTTGAATGTCTTTACGGACGAGATGATGTGTGCCGGTAATATGGATCACCGTGACATAAATCCCTGTGGCGGTGACCTGGGCGGTCCAATGATCGACGATGACATAGTGTATGGTATTGTCAGCTATCGCATCGGTTGCGGCCACATTGAACTGCCGTCGGTCTATACGAATATCTTTGGGAATTTAGAGTGGATCGATAGCATTATGTCCCAAAATCGAAGCTATCGTCTCTATAATTGTGTCGCATTCTTATTATTAGTAATTAATATAAATTTTTACGTCTGAGATAAAACCGTTTCTGCGAGGGTGGATAATTTTGTGGTCGTGGGAGTGCTCCAATGAATGAAAAGTCGGGTGATGATATATGTATATAGTCGGTACACATTGGGCGTTTGAAGCGTATTGGGCCGAGAGATCGAGAGATCGTAACAGGGGGCTGTAACAGGGTGATCAGGATGAGAATCATTCTGACATGACAGAGGTCTACTCTTGAATGGCGCAGTCTATAGTAGCAGCTATTTAAGCAAAAAATACTCTTCTGAATTGTTTTTGCGCTTTATTCTTCAATCGTCTAGACCAGGAGTCCGCCCTTGGCCGTCAGGGCGGGCAGATGCTTGACGGTCTTGAGGAAGTCAGCCACCTCGCAGGCATACGACCAGCCAGTCTTGATGTCATCCTTCTTCCAGTTGATGTACGTCACCTGGTCGCTGACATCATCGCACAGGACGTAGTCGCGCTTGATCTGCTCCTCGGACAGATGAGGATTGTTCACACCGACAAAGACGATGCCACGATGGGTCGAGGGCTCGATGACGACGCGGAAGTACAGCTTGGGAACTGGGATCAAACCATTGTTGTTGGCATCGCGTGCGAGATAGAGCGGTGTCTCTACACCGTCCTTGTTGGGCAGAGTGGTGACGCCCCAGACACCGGTGTAGCAGTTCACGTTCATCTTGTTCTTTGACACCCAGGCACGGAGGCCGTCCTCAACGCGAGCCCAGTTGCCGGCATTGAAGGTCTGCCACTGGGGAGCGGCATTGATGAACAGGAAGGTGGCACGCTGCTCGGGAGCATAGTCAAAATCGGCCTTAGCTCCGAGATGGCCACGGGCCAGGAAGACATTCGTGGCGGTGTCAAAGTACTGGTCGGCATCGCCGCCCAGATCCTTGTTGATGGTCTCCATCTGAGTGACCTGCGTGTAGAGCTTGTCCACATTCTTGCCATCAAAGTAGCCGGCCGTCTGGAAAGTGATGCGGGCCACGCCCGTCTCGTAGTAGTTGCTGCCGGGCTCCAGCTTGTGGCGGGTGTAGCGAGTCACCTCCTCCTCCTCGTTGAAGCAGATCTGCATCTGTTCGGCAAAGCGCGTGGAGGTGATCTCGAAGCCGACGCGAATGACCACGCCGCCATTGCAGGTGGCGCCCGATTTGATGGCCTTGAAGCCCGGCCAGGCTTTGCAGTAGAGATCCTTGAACTCGAAATCTTTGCCGTCCACACTGAAGGTGGATCCACTCACGCACTTGGCCGTCAACAGAGTCTCGGAGTGGGTGTTAAATGCACCAGGACACCAGAGCTGGAATGAGTCGCCCGCATTGAATTCCATGACGCCAACATCGTTGAAGGGATAGAAATCCTCGGAGTCAGTCTTCAGGTAGACGGGCTGGGGGCTGGGCAGGGCCCCGCGAATGGCGACACTGCAGGCTATAGGATAGGATAAATAGCCTAGTTAGTGCTGCTGCTCTTCCCTAAGCAGTGTATTCCTCCCACTCACCGGCTGCACGTCCTTCCGGCTGGGGTGCCACATAAACGGCGCGCTCGTAGATCTCATCCTCCTGGACGATCGGCGGCAGCTCCACCTCCGGATAGGGGACTCGGGCCCAAGCAGCCTGAACCACCACCAGACCAATCAGCACCAATGTTAAACGGACGCTCTTCATTTCGATTTTGACAAATGGAATGGTCTGGTGGCATCTTTAAATAGGTCTTTTCGGCCATATCACAATGGGCTGGCGGGGCTGGCCCCATAAGGGTAATTAATGAAAAATACTTAATATAATCGAAATCTTGCCACTTTTTGTGCCCTTATCTACGCGCTCCAAGTGTCGGAGTGTGTCGTCTATTCCTACGTTAGCGTCATTCAGTCGATCTTAATTGGTTCGAGGCACTTTCTGTAGATTACAGTATACAGAGATGGACTGTTGGAGTGGTCTAGGGAAATACCCGATAGAATGTTGAATTTTGTACATGCATCGGTAATACTCGTAATTTTTATCCGTAATTCTGCTAAGATCTATTTACCAGATGTGTTGGTATTTCCAGCATGCCTTCAATCAGTTTCTGCCTACCCAAACATAGAATGATGAAGTCATGGTCCTTGCGCCAGGATAGCCAACTGTTCAGGGCAGCAGCTCTAACAGGACAACAGCACTGTTGGCATCTCAGGTTAACCGTCTGTTAACGCTCTCCTCTTTAACAGCCTTTGCCCCCCACAGTTACAGTCCACTGTTAGCCCACTCTCACGATCCACACGGCTCTCGGGCGGGATCTAATTACCCAGAACAGCCGTTGGAGCACTCCTACTCTATCCTCCAACAAACACCAACAATCAAGTGCCATTTATGTGCTCCCAACTGCAGACAACTGTCTGCTAATGAAGTTATTTAATCAGGGCTCGGATCCATCTCCTACCTACATTTGAAGCTCCATTGCCTATAATTTATAATCAACAAGTAATTAAGGCTGATGGCCGCCCCAGGATTCGAAAATTCAAGTGTTGACTGCCTCTCTTCTCTCTCTCGCTCTCTCTCTTTCTGTCTCTGTCTCCATGGACATCACGTAATTAGTAAGTGGGACATGAAACGCCTGGGAACCGCTCTGCCGTGAAGTCATAGAAAATTAATCATTAATCATTATCTCTGGCGCCACCTACGTATAGCTCCCGCTTCGCTCATTTATCTATATCAAATCAATTAGTAAGTACCTTGAAGCTGTCTTCCTTCCATCCTCATGGTCCAATGAAACGGCGTCGTTTTCTTTTGTGTGCGAATTTCCTTTCGGCCTTGCTACGTGCCAATTTGGACCGTTTTGTTCGCTCATTCGTAAATCTAAACAAATCATCAATTTTCACAAATTATACCCGCGATACCCATCTCAGAGCCAAAAGTATCCGGCTACCGGTACAATCCTCATCCTCATCCTTGTCCCCGTCCTCGTCCTCGTCCTCCCCCTTGTCCTTCGCGCCTAATTGCCTGACTATCTGTGCCTTTTCGTTTCGCTTTCGCTGCGTTTCCTGCTGTTGCTGCCGCCTCTCCGACGTTTATTTTACATTCCATTAATTAATGTCAATGGCCGACGAACTTTGACATATTGAGCTTTATGTTATTTCCTTTCCTTTCCCCCACACTGTTCCCCCCTGATGGTGCTGTCTGCTAAGGTGCCAAGCAAGAATGGAGGATTATCCAAATGAAAGAAAATGTTCCATTGAAAACGCCATCGATGGTACATCTTTTTGTTGAGCGAGGAACACGTGTACGTAACTTTTAGATTTGCAAGGCCAGAAACCTAGTGAATTACTATCCTTAGGCCAATCGATATATTTATATAATTAACAATTAACTGCGAATCATCGACTAAAATAATAATAATATAGAATCTACAAACTTACAAATTGATAAAGACTAAATGCTTTAACGTTAAGGGATATTCCATTCCAGTTTCTCCATCAGAAGCTCACTACAGTCATGCGAAAAATAATATGGACACTTGACTATTATCTCTATAAAATCACTATTTTGCAGGAATTTTAAAGTGCTCTTAATTTCTGTTAATGTTGGTTTTGTTCTGCGCTCCGCAAAGTAAAAGACAAAATACAATTTAATAGTAAAACAACGTTTTCATAAGAGTTGTTAGATTTTAAAGTATATTTTGAATATACAGAATACAGGATAGGAGTGTGCATGGCAGTGCCCAGCTACGCCTGGACTCCTAGTGCTCCAATGATGGTAATGATGTATAATGCCAAAATCATAAGACGCAACAGGAAACACCAGGATGAAAGTGAAAAATATCCCCAACTCTTAAGGGGATTATGTGAGAGAACACACTTGCATTTTCTGCGGAGGTAAACTCTTCTAAAACACAAATAGTATTGAACATCTAACAAGAGACCACATTCATTGTCTATCGAGGAAGAATGTACCCATGATGATGTGACAATCATGACATCCCATCTTCTTCGCCTTTCAGCTGAAATCATTATCTGAGAAACTCATTTGAAGACATCTCTCTGTATAGATTTATCTATGTATGTATGTGTATCTCTCCACACGCCATAAATTATCCAGCAAATTTATGAGTTTCGAATCAATATTAATTGCCTGTTCGATACATCAGACGTCCATTTCATTAGCCAGCCACTTGGACAGCACCTGGACAGAAGAAGCATTCAACTTAAATTGGTTTTGGCACCTACTCACACGATTTCCTCACACGACAAAGGCGAATAAAAAGATACACTCCCTTGAATGTGGAAGACACAGCAGAAATAAGGAGGCACACAATTTAATTCGAATTTGACTTGATCAGACATCGCATTCAGGGACCATTTCTCTCCTGTTCGCCCCCTCCTTTTGATAAATGGGGTCATATTAATAACATATGTGTGTGTCGGTGTGTGTATTTGGGGGCGTGTGTGTGCTGAAAGATACCTTTGATTGATAAGGCTGCCTAAGCGTGTGTTTGCCCAGCAGAGAGTGGGAGGACAAAGGGAGGGCAAAAGGTAAACGATTTTGCACCTTTTCAACAGGTCTCTTCTCTGTGTCGGTGCTCGGGGTCGTCGGATGTTCAGGCAAATTGAAAACGGGAGTCAATAAAGCCGTATTCGTAGTCAGTCCTGGCCAAGGGCTAGGCCAGGTCCATGCAGGATGTGTGTGTGCCTGTGCAATGATGGATTAAATGTATTTCAAAGGCGTGAAAGCCAAAAGGTAGCAGCACAAAGTAGCACATTGTGGTTGCATAATAAACATTCAGCACACACTTCAATTTAGCTTAGCTCGGGAATACAAAAAAAAAGGGACCCAGAGAGCCCACCACAAAGGATACAAGAGTTCTATAAATATACATATACACACACTAATTGTCAAAGGCTTTCTGTTCCGTGTTTTGTGCCTTATGCAAATCCACACACACCCACACACACACACACACACACACACATCCTGCCACAAAGTTGTGCAGTCAAGCGAAAGATCTCCGATAATTGCAATGGACCGATACAATGTCTTCAAAGGATAAAAAGCCCCTCCCCCAACACAAACCAACCCAACCCAAAACCAGAACCGAATGTGCAAATAAAAGAGAAGAGCTGCCTCCTATCCATAGATTTGCATTAATTTACGCTCAATAAACCAAACAAACATCGCCATGGAGGGGTTGATGGTGGAGAAACCACCCACCCAATTCATGCGAGGGGGATGGGCAAGGATAAGGGAAAGGGAAAAGCGCAAATAATACTAAAGTAAAAAATGAAGTGACCAGGCGAACAAAACACAGTGTGAAAATTATAAAAGTAGTTGAACATGACAGGCGGACGTCCAAGAGCATGGCAGAGATGATTAATAGCCTGACACCATTAAGCGCTGGAAAAATTACTTACTGCACTGACACGGAGAGAGAGAGAGAGAGAGAGAAGGTTTTTTAGATGGGGCTTAAAGTTCAAAGGGGAAACATTTAAAGTACATAATTTTATTAAAAATTTTCTGCAAAGTGACGACTGTTGTTTTAGAAAAATAGGATTAAAATTACCATCGTTTGGGCAGGGAACCACTCAGTCTTCCCTTCAAAACTTATTCCAATTAATGAAGATTTTCTCAATTATCATTCCTTATATATCATTTGTCCAAAAATTAAGTATACGCCTCCCGCAACGAAGCACAGCTTCCTATCTTTATTATCCGATAACTCAATTTGCGATTCCTTTCAGGCTTCAATTGATTTGAAAAATGTTCTCAAAGTGTAGAAAGTTGGTCCAAGCTTTCTATAGAATGATTATACCGATAGAAAGCGGGGGAGAACGGGGACAAGCTGATTTGTCCTTGCCGCCTGTCTGTCACTCGCCACACCCGAAATCTGTGTGCGATAATCTGGTGTTGCAATCAGCGTTATATCATGCCACTAATGGCATCCACTTTGTACGGCCATTTTCGTAGTATGACCCCCACTCGATGGCCACTCCCCCCCTCACACCGCCCACCGCATTTCGGCCATTTGTTTTTGCCGTTGCCGTTGCTGTTTGCCTTCTTCTTTTTTGTTTCCCTGTTTTGGCCCTGTGCCCTGTGCAGAGGAGAGCAACGCTTCAATAACTTTTATCACTTTTAATTGGATTTTTCTTTATAGTCAACGCATGTCTTAGGAGAGACTAACACATGTTCAGATTGTAATTGTGTTAATGTCGGCACCATATCCTTCTCTATCTCTCTATGTGCGTGTGTATGTGTCTGTGTGTGTGGGCGTGTCTTTTAGCATGTTTTTTTTGTTGTTGTTGCCATATTGGCCTGTGACATCAGGCTAATACCCATTTTCCTTGTTACTTTTCCTGCTGTCTCGCATATACCATGTACATATGTATGTATGTACATACATATGTATGCATATAGCCCCCAAGTCTGGTCAAATTTGTTATTTCTTTTCGGTGTTGTCTTTTTTTCGATTCAATTTTCTTAATTGCTTCTTAATGCATATGCCTTCCAGGCTGAAATTCGTGCTTTTTAACCGATTCTCAGCATCAACTCGAGAGAGAAAATGCTTTCAAGAGCGGAAATACAAATACAAAAAGTTCATAAGAACAGAGGGAACTCTTGCAGAATAAAGTGGAAGCGTAATACGAAAAGGTTTCAGATGCATATGCCTCCTCATGCCCAAGACATGCAAATTGTTTTTCTTTTTTTATGCATTCCGTTGTGAATCAAACAGCGTACATTTTTTTTGCTTTCTTGGGAACGACCACAAAAATTAAACATTTCAGCTTCCTTCTAATCATTGCAGTTCGAAAAAAGTCGCCTGAAAAGAAAAGTACGAGCACTAGAAATAATCCATAAATACTCCCATCTCTCGGGCTAATGACATCGCTTACTTTGAAACAGTATTGGCCACTAGTCGCAGGAAAACTTTCCACTTCCAACCGCACCAACCGCACCATTGAACTAAAGACACAACTAACAACACGAGCGAGTGCTCATCCGCTTTCTGGGGCAACCTTGTCCGTTCTGCTTTCTCCTTTCTCCGCTCGCAATTGACACGTAATTGACTTTGTCCGCACTTTGCCGAACGTCAATTTGTGCGCCACTTGCTCGGGACCAATTAAACGCCATCGATGACCAATTGCACTTGTCCAGAAATTGGCCAAGAAGATTGCTGGCTCCAACGTGATGACAGCCAGCAGGACGACTCCACGATGCGAGTGTAGTGAACTGCAATCAATGCATAATTTTAATGCAATTCTCGAATGCAATTACGGTCGAATGTCTTTTGGCTATAAAAGCCATTTGCCAGCTGGTGACCTGCGAAAAAATTCCGTAAGGGAAATGCAAAAAGCAGAGGACACGAAACGCGGAACAGAAACTCGTTAATATTCGAAGTGATGAAGGTTCAACTTATTCGCTGGCGCCTCCTTCTCCCGCTGTTGCTGGCGGTTGTCAATGTCAGTGGCAGCTGGCCGGACAGCGGCATCCGTTCGAGATATCCCCGCGAGGGAGCGGCTCCGGGAACTACACCATGGGGCAATCAGTTGCCGGATATGCTAGTCGCTTACTATCGCCACCATGGCGTTCACAGTCTGATGCTGGTCGTTTGTCACACGGACATTGGTGAATTAACCCCTCCTTGCATGCAACGTGTTTTTCGTGGAAATTTATGTCCTTCCTGCGTCCTTGCTTTTTTCGACCCTTCCAGCTGATGCACGCCTTCGGATGCTGTGGCGCCACTTCAACCTCAACAACTTCTATGTGCAGGTCAGTACGGAGGACTCGCTGCGGGACCTTCGACATGTCGTTGCCCTGGACGAATTGAGCGTGGCCCCACCGCCGCAGAGTTTCCACGCCAACAACTCCACCCACTGGGAGACATCGTTTCTGCTCCCCAAGCTGCAGTACAAGCTGGGCATCCTGCTCCTGGAGTTTGGCAGCACGTGTTCCCAGAACCTGCTCCGGTGGTCGGCCGCCACGGAGCATAACTACTTCACGACCAATCGATTCTGGCTGCTGCTCACCGAAGATCTAAGGGACATCGACCTACTGGACGATCCCGAAATATTCATCCCCCCCGACAGCGAGCTGAGGGTGCTCCACCTCAGCTACGATGGGGGCTCCTTTTCAGCCAGCCTCATAGACGTTTACAAAGTCGCTGCGTCGAAGCCCCCGAAACAAACGTTGGTGGGACAGCACCTACGTCGTGCGGGGCACATGATTCATGCCCTGCAGCACTTTGGTTCGGCCATCACGTACAGGCAGGATCTGGAGGGGATTGTCTTCAACACGGCCATTGTGATTGCCTTTCCGGATCAGTTCACCAACATTGAGGATCTGTCACTGCGTCATATCGACACCATATCGAAAGTCAATCATCGTCTAATGTTGGAGCTGGCCAACCGATTGAATGTCAGGTGGTTTCTGCTTTCTAGAACCCAATTTCGGGTCGTTTTAATTCGAGGGTCGATCTATTTTCCAGTTACAACACCTATCAGACCGTCAACTATGGCTGGCGACAGGCGAATGGCTCCTTTGATGGTCTCATGGGTCGCTTTCAGCGCTACGAACTGGACCTGGCCCAGCTGGCGATCTTTATGCGCCTGGATCGGATTGCCCTTTGCGATTTTGTGGCGGAGACATTTAGAGTGCGGGCTGGTATCATGTTCCGGCAGCCACCACTGTCGGCAGTGGCGAATATCTTTGCCATGCCCTTCGAGAACGATGTCTGGGTGTCCATAATATGTCTGCTGATCATTACGACAGTAGTGCTAGTGGTGGAGCTGCTCTTCTCGCCGCACACCCACGACATGGCCTACATGGACACGGCGAACTTTGTCTGGGGGGCCATGTGCCAGCAGGGGTTCTATGTGGAGGTACGCAATCGATCGGCAAGGATCATTGTGTTCACCACCTTTGTGGCGGCTCTCTTTTTGTTTACCTCGTTCTCCGCAAACATTGTGGCACTGCTGCAGAGTCCCTCGGATTCGATCAGATCGCTGGCTGATCTGGGCCAATCGCCGTTGGAGATCGGTGTCCAGGACACTCAATATAACAAGATCTACTTCACAGAGTCCACGGACCCGGTGACAAAGAATCTATACAATAGGAAGATCGCCTCCAAGGGCGATCATGTTTATATGCGACCCACCCTGGGGATGGAAAGGATGCGCACGGGTCTGTTTGCCTATCAGGTGGAGCTTCAGGCGGGCTATCAAATTGTCAGCGATACATTCAGTGAGCCGGAGAAGTGCGGCCTGATGGAGCTGGAGCCGTTCCAGCTCCCGATGTTGGCGATTCCCACAAGGAAGAACTTCCCCTACAAGGAACTTATGCGAAGGCAGTGAGTGGCGCTGAGTGTTATCGACTGTGCTTGGACAGTGCTTTGATTCTGATACGATTTCTTCCACAAAGATTACGCTGGCAACGGGAGGTCAGCTTGATGAACCGCGAGGATCGCAAGTGGATACCGCAGAAGCCGAAATGCGAGAGCGGCATGGGCGGCTTTGTGTCCATTGGCATCACAGAGTGTCGCTATGCCCTGGGCATCTTTGGCTGTGGAGCGGCGGCCAGTTTCGCCGTTTTCCTCTGGGAGTTCATCTTGAAGCACTTTAAGCGCGTATGCCGCAAGATTGGGAGTTACAAAGAGATGCGGCTCTAGGCTGCACAGACAAATTTATTTATAAAGTGAAAAATAAAAGTTATGTTGGTATGGACAGCTCCTTGACAACGGCACGCAGCGCATCCGGCGTTTTGAATTGCCAGTTCTGGATACTTTTGCTGACACGACACCAGGACTCGCCGTGCGTGGGCTCGGCGGAAATACAACGATCGAGGACCTCCTGTTGTTGCTGCTCTGTTCCATGGAGCAATTCGAATTTATAGAAATATGCCCAGGCATCGCCCAAGTCTGGATCTATTTTCACCTGAAATAAGTCTTCAATTAGTTTGGATTTTCTTGTTTAATCTTTTCCAAAACACTCACCGTTCGGTTGAACCAATCCCTGCATTTGGAGAACTTGTGCTCCGACCAAAACAGTTTGGAGACGGCCAGGAGAACATGCGGATCGTGCTCACATTTTTTGAGAGCATCCACGGACTTTGTCTTTCGCTGCGGCTTTGTCTCCATGAAAATGGCCTCGGCCCAGAGCTCGCCGGCATTGGGGCACTCCTGCAGGGCGCGTGCCATCATGGTGCTGGCAATCTCCTTGAGTCCCGCACGCAGCTCGACGCGTATGGCCTCCAGCCAAAGCACCGCGACCTTGGGATTGCGCAGACGACCTCTCTCCAGGATGGATCGGGCTTTTGTGAGCACGCCTTTGCGTTCCTCCAGATTAGCGGAGAGTACCCACAGAGGAATCGATGTGGGGCACTTCTTCAGGCCCTGTGTGTAGGTGTTGGCAGCATCATCCGTGCGCCGCTGCTGCTCCTCGATCTGGCCCTTCATCATCCACAGCTTAGGGAAATCGGGGAAAACCTCGACTGCCTCTTCGAGTAGACGCAGCGCCTCGTCGAACCGCTCCAGGGCCCACTCCAACCGAGCCGATTTCATCATCACTCTCGGCGTGGGCGCCGAACCTCTTGCCTTGGCCAGCAGACGACGCGCACGCTCGTACTCCGCATTCTCCGACTCCAGTTTGACGGCAGCCAGCCAAATATCCTCCGAATTGGGATTCGCCTGGAAAGCCAGCGAAAGAATACCTCGCGCTGCCGGCACATCCCCGGCCATCCACTTTGATTTGGCCCCCATCAGCCAGAGAATCTCTGACTTGGGACAGTGGGCGACGGCACGCTGCAGCAGTGCCTCCAGCGACTCGCGTGTGCCATGGTTCTTCTCAAAGTAGGCGGCACGCAGCCAGATGCTCTTCTTCGAGGGGAACATTTGCAGGGCATGGGCGTAGACAGCACGCGCGCACTCAAACGCGTTCTCCTTGGCGCACTGAAAGATAAATAACATGAGTTTCGGATACAATTCAGATTGTTTCTATTGCAGAACTATTGCAGGATACTCACAAATTCCGCATCATCGATCCAGGTCTGCTTACGATCCTCTTCCTCCACACCAATGCCAATGACAGCCTTCACAATGCACTGGCAACAATTGACGGCACCCGATTTCTCTGCTTCGATGGCCTCTTGGAACCAATGGTCCCGATTGATCTCCACTCCGTTGGCTGTGAGGGAGGTCAGCGAACGATCGACGATCTTTTCCACCATGTGAATGTTGCCATTGGCCTCCTCCAGCTTGGCAGCCGTTGTCCAAATTTGTCGATCTGTGGGAATATTTTCACGAGCCTTGTTCAGCACCTTGCGGGCATTTTCGTATGTCTCGAGGCGGGCCAGGGCCAGCCAGAGCTCGACGCTAGTGTTGCAGCACTCCACAGCACGAGAGAGCAGAATACGGGCATCGTCGGGATTCTCCAGCTCGACGGCCGCCTTCCACAGACGCACAGAGTTCGGTATATGCTCCAGGGCCTTGCGGAAGACTCGGCGCTTGGCCTTTGTTTCGGTTTCCAAATCAGCGGCCTTTATCCAAATGCGCACGGATGTGGGAATGTGACGCGCAGCCTGGGCTATCACCGCCTTGGCTGTGTCCGGGGGCTGAAGGCGTGCTGCTTCCAGCCAAAGATCTTCTGACTGGGCATTTATTTCGCAGCCTCTCATTATCAGGTTGCGAGCCATCTGCACTTTTCCGGTGACCTCCTCGAGGCGAGCCGATGCTATCCAGGCCGGTGGGTGATTGGGATTTGTTTCCCTCACACTTTTGAGCAAGAGGCGAGCCTTCTTAATGTCGTTGATGTCGCCGCCGTAGGTGGGAATCATGCTCTGCAAGTCGGTAAGGTAACCCTTCGGATCCACCACTGTTTGCCCCGTCACCGAGTCTGAAACCTGTGATAGCTTTACGTTCATCAACGTATTACGAGCCTGACCAATCTTTCTCAAGTCCAAATCCCCAGTGGGCGTTAGCATGCCCGGTGTGGCCACGCCTGGCACCATGGACGCCAGGCCAGAGGATGGATCCAGTGTGGAGGATGACTCGCCGCCTAAATTTCTGGACAAAACGCTGTCCGGCAGCGGCGTAAACTTCTCGGCTCTGGCATTTCGCTGCTTCCGATTGCGGCTGTCGCCCACCTCGGGAATGGTGGACCACTCTTCGGAGGTGACGCCAGACAGGGAGCGCTTCAGATCGCTAAACTGCTGCTGAATCTTTGGTCTTTCCTGACGATAGCGCTCCAAGTCCTCGCGCAGTCGACGGTCGCGATACTCTTTGCGTTTCTCGTCCATGCGCTTTTCTACGGAATCGTAGATGGCGTCGGCCTCTTCGTCGTCCTTGTCGTAGGGGTCCTTCGAGAACAGGGAGCCACTGTAACCACTAAACTCATCATAGTTCGAGTCGTTCAGATCTTCATCCTCCTCCTCCTCTTCATCTTTTTTCTTACGTTTGGTTGCTGGCGGTGCATGCCGATCATCGGACACATCGTTGGCATCGCGAGCCGGACCAATATCCGATCGGGTGGTGAAGCCAGTGGCACTGCAAATTATAAACAAATAGTTAAAATATCAAATTTCGCTGAGTAAACGAATCTCATCCGCCACTCGCGCCTGGTACTCACCCACGACCCACGCCGGCCACATAACCCAAGGGCGCAGGCACGCCCAGAAAATGTTTCTTATTGCGGTTGGCAATTACCGCTGCGGTTATATTGGACATCTTTGTACTTCTATATGGTTGGTTTTCTAATATTTATAATTTTCACAAACAGAAGAAATTCAGTGCGTGGTCTTCTTCTTTCCAGTCGGCCAATAGTGTTGGAAAACGGTCGTGGCATTAGCTAGAGGTTGAGCCATAGTTTAGTCGCTGTAACTAAATTCCAGTTCGATTCGGTTATTTTAAATGAGTAATCACTCATTTCTGAGTCAATTTAGCACAGTGAAAGTTCCAAATATTATTTTTCAATCAAAAAAGCTTGTAGTGCAAAGTGAAATCCAAAAGCGATAATAGTTGTGCTCATCTCTAGCACGTAACCGGTATCGATAGACTGACAGCAAAACCCTTTTTGTGCGAATCAATTTTTATAAAAAAATTTTCGCATTAAAAGTGTGAAGTATAATTTCTTAAGCTTGAACAGAAAATCGTTGCAAAATGCCTGTGCTGCCTATGCCGCCATTGATGCAGGTAAGATTAATGAAGATTACAGCTTTTCTTGGACAATTGTAGTGATGTTGAAATATTTTTTTTTGCAAACAAAAAGAACGCCATCGAGCCAATGCAAGTGGATGCCCCACCGAACGAGGACAATGAGAACAACGAAGAGCAACAGATTGTGGTGGAGAACCCCAGCATCGACCTGGAGGTGTATGCCAATCAATACAATGGCATAGTACGTCTCCACCGTCTGATGTATGTGGCCGACGTTTGCCCCGTCCTAGCCGTGGAGGCGCTGAAAATGGCCATCACGTATGTACAGACTACGTACAACGTTAATCTCTACCAGTTGCTGCACAAACGTTTGAGCGACCTGAACGCTAGCAATGCCCCGGCACCGCCAGCTCCGGCTGCAGATCTGGCTCCTGTGCCAGCCGCTGCTCTGCCGGACATTGCCGCCGTGCCGGCTGCAATCGCTTTGCCACCCTTGGCCCAAGGCCAGGCCGCTGGCGAGAAGGATTCGTTTGCCTATGACGCTGTGTGGGTGGACACCAAGATGAAGAAGGCTGCCCTCAAGCTGGAGAAGCTTGATTCGGACCTGAAGAACTACAAGTCGAACTCGATCAAGGAGAGTATTCGGCGCGGCCACGACGACTTGGCCGATCATTATCTGAGCTGCGGCGATCTGACCAATGCCCTCAAGTGCTACTCCCGGGCCCGGGACTACTGCACCAGCGGCAAGCATGTGGTGAACATGTGTCTGAATGTGATCAAGGTCTCCATTTATCTGCAGAACTGGGTCCATGTCATGAGCTACATATCGAAGGCGGAGAGCACTCCGGACTTTGCCGAGGGATCCAAGGAGGCCAACGCCCAGGTCCACACACGCCTCGAGTGCGCCGCCGGCCTGGCCGAACTACAGCAGAAGAAATACAAGGTGGCTGCCAAGCACTTCCTGAACGCCAACTTCGACCATTGCGAGTTCCCCGAAATGATCTCCACCAACAATGTGGCTGTCTATGGTGGGCTCTGCGCTCTGGCCACCTTCGACAGGCCGGAGCTGAAGCGCCTGGTGATTGCCTCCACATCGTTCAAGCTGTTCCTCGAGCTGGAGCCGCAGTTGCGCGACATTATTTTCAAGTTCTACGAGAGCAAATACGCCTCGTGCCTTACGCTGCTCGATGAGATTCGCGACAATCTTCTCGTGGACATGTACATAGCACCGCATGTGAGCACGCTCTACACCAAAATTCGCAATCGCGCCTTGATCCAGTACTTCAGTCCCTATATGTCGGCCGACATGCACAAAATGGCAATGGCCTTCAACTCATCGGTCGGTGATCTGGAGAACGAGGTGATGCAGCTGATTCTAGATGGCCAGATTCAGGCCCGCATCGACTCGCACAACAAGATCCTCTACGCCAAGGAGGCCGATCAGCGCAATAGTACCTTCGAGCGCGCCCTGGTCTTGGGCAAGAAGTATCAGCGCCACACCCGCATGCTCGTCCTGCGCGCGGCTATGCTCAAAAGCCACATCCACGTGAAGAGCGTTACCCGCGAGGGCAGCAGCAACCACGGCGCCGAACTATGCGTCTCGGCCGGCTCCACCACCACGGCTCAGTTGGCTCGCATGTAGGCATCGCCCAATAATTAAGAAACTCTTTATATTATACTCTTCTGCGATGCAAATTATGCTTTAGCGTAGCTAATTGTAAACTCATTGCACCCGAAATTCTCCCTATGTTGAGAACCATTAAATCATCTACTAACCAATGCCTGGGGTATTCTCCCTGATATTTTATTGGTGGGGGAATTGAAAAAACACAAAGTATATGAAGAACTGTAGGACTATCGTCTGGAGTAATCCCTGCGATCCCTCTCCCGACGTCTCTCCCCGCTGGCGGAGCGGGAGCGATCTCTAGACCGTTCTCTGCGCTGACTTCTGTCATTCCGTCGGCGTTGGAGGCCATCTTCAGACTCCCTCGAACGATGGGTACCATTTCTTCTTTGCGGCTCCCTAGATTGTTGATCTTTGTGATGGCTCCTATGGTTGTCTTCCGAATCGCCATCGGTGGAGGATGATGAGCCATCGCTGTCTACAGATTTCCTTTCTTTTCTGGCCGATCGCTCTTTTTGGCTGCTCTTGGACTTTTTCTTCTTGGAGTCTCTGTCATCGTTTGGTTTTTTTGACTTTTTCTTGGATGGCTTCTTGATGCTCTCCCCCTTGCGCTTCATCCGGTCGATCTTTTCTAACTTTTTGAGCAACTTTAGCTTCTGCTTTTTGGTCAGCGACTTTAGGAACATGAGCTCGGGATTCTGTTTATTGGCATTGGCCTCATCCTCCTCGTCGCTGGGCACCAACTGGTGCTGTTTCTGGATGGTCTTAATGCTCTGCAGCTCCAACGCGGAACGCTTCATCATCAGACCATCTTCCTTCATCTGTTCCTCGAGCACGTTCTTGGACATGATGTCAGTGGCCTCCGATTCGGCATGCAGCTTGCGTGCCTCGCTCATGGATATGCTGTACATGTTGCACTCCTTGTCCGTGTTGATGTGCCCCCATTTGTGGCACTTGAGACAGCGCACGTTGCGCACCTGGATGCCAAAGGGCTGATCCCGGATTTCGGTGTCGCCCTTGCAGTAGGACTCTCGGGGAGCATTGTATTTGCGCTGCCATTCGAACTTGTACTCCGGCTCGTCATCGTCCTTTTCGCGCTCCTTGCGTACTCCAGGCGGCGGCTCGTACATGAAATTGACGCTCAGCTTGTCTTTGCTGTCCTTGCTGAGCATGGCCTTGTTCTCGTGTAGGTTTTGTTCCTTCTCATACTGGTTACGCAGCTCCTCCTGTTTCTTTTTGTATGCGTCGGCTTGTTGTTCCGCCATCCACACCTGGGGCCAAGAGATTAATTCAGGAAATCATTCAATGAAACATTAGGCGTTTGCCCTATCCGAGAACTTACCCTCTTCAGATTATCCCTGGAAGCGGGATGGAAGAATTTCTTGCACATATAATTGTTGAAACCCTTGCCCATGATGCTTTTGTGTTTATTTCTTCACGGATGCCTAAATAATATCTCTATTTCGTCAATTTTACAAATAATTTTCGTTGGTGTTGTTTATTAAAGACGATCTGGTGCTGTACAATTTCCGCAGCGTTCGTAAGAGATGGGCGTACATGCGATGTATGTTCTTAAACGATGTAATGCTGCAAATTTACTACTTATATTCCTATCAAAATAGATTAAACCATTTGTTTGCAGACTCTGTCCTTTATGTCTGATAGCAGAATTACAGCAATGTAATATTTAATATACACTTTTCCTCAAACTATTTCGGATCGGCTCATATCGAATAAAACGCGAGCTGTTGTCGTTTTCCAGCACTTATCTGCGTGTAGCGCCAGCCTATGAATTATTTTTGGTAATTTTGATCTCAAAGCGCAATTTCTAACCAAATCATGGAAAGTCTCGCCGAAAAAGATATGATTGCCTGCCCGTACAACAAGGAGCATGTGATGCTGCGCAGAAAATATCAGCAACATATTTTAAAATGTCGTGAGATCCACAAAGACACGGTGCAACTTCTTGTGTGTCCCTTCAACAATGCACATCTCGTACCAGAGCCAGAGTTTCATGTGAGTAATCTGCGCAGAAATCTCATACAAAAAACCACCAGCTAAACTTTCCTCACACAGCAACATTGCAAATCTTGTGAGGATCGCAAAATAATTGTGCAATATCAAACCAGCGAACCGGCTGTACTGCACGCTGACACAAGACATGAGAAAATTGAAGCGGACGAGAATTGGGACGATGATGAGGTGGAGGACTACAATCCGCAGGTATATTGCGCTCAAGCAAATATAGTACGCGAACCGATCGGAATGTTCCCGTCCGAGCGCAAGGCATTCATTAAAGAGGAGGAACGTCGTCGTCGCGGCGATAACTATGATGAAGAAGAGCAGGGCAAGTCCAAGTCCCGGGCTGAAAGTCGTCACACGCCGTACAATCCCAATCAGCAGCGTTCGAAACGCTCTTCTAAATGAAGCGAGTCGTTTTTGTTTTCTTACTTATGTATTTAATCTCAAAAGCATGTACATATTTGATTTAGAAAATCAAATCGCCATCGGAGGAATTTTCCTCCTGCTCTCAGGCATTTGGATTAGTGAAAAGATGAGATAGCGAAGTACCTCGAATAAAAAGAAATGCCTTACCTTAATTTCTAGTCTGTATGGAATTTTTAAGCTCATCCAGGCGAACCCTTTGGCTATCGCAAGACATTCTTCGCATGGAACGCGATCCCCCGTACTACTCTTTTGGGCCATATGTCCCAGTTGACCTGTTCATTTGGCCTCGTGGCGGTTTGGATATTTGGATTAGTAATAAAACTGATACACAGATATTTTATTGGCGGGGGAATGGAAAAAACACAAAGTATATAAAGAACTGTATGCCTATCGTCTGGAGTGATCCCTGCGATACCTCTCTCGACGTCTCTCCTCGCTGGCGGAACGATCTATAGACCGTTCTCTGGGCTGACTCCTGTCATTTTGTCGGCATTGGAGGCCGTCTTCCGGCTCCCTCGGTCGATGGGTACCATTTCTTCTTTGGGGCTCGCTAGATTGTTGGTCTTTGTGATGGCTTCTGTGGTTGTCTTCCAAATCGCTCTCTGAGGAAGATGATGGCTGCTCTTGGACTTTTTCTTCTTGGTGTTTCTGTCCTCCTTTTTTTTTTGACTTGTTCTTGGATGGCTTCTTGATGCTTCCACCTTGCGCTTCATCTAATCGATCTGCTCTAGCTTTTAGGCCTTTTTTCCCATAAAATGCATATGTCGAACAGCAAGTCCCTTTAGTGTTGGACCAAATCTTACCTTAAGATCTTCAGGCCGATGAAGTCGCTTTCTGATGGGCAGTCTTCTACTGAACAAAGTTGTTTTTAAAGACAATTAAACAAATAATAGTTGATTATAAATCTAGACGCTCTACTAATCTATGGATCCGAGAAGAGCAAAAAAGAAAATGAAAGGGTGATCCCTTCCGAAGCCAACCAGCAAGGAATACACTTAAAAAAAAAACAACAAAAATTATATAAATATTTCTTCACTTGTTTACGGCTCCAAATCATGCACGAGAACTAACATATTAGTTTCCCCAGCTAGGCAGAACACAAAAAAAAAAACGCAAATCCAAAAATCAAAGATTGTCCATTTGAAAAAACAACTATTCTTTATTTTAAAGAAATGCGGCCTTTCACTCCACAAAATGGTTTTTTTCGCGAATTTGTTTGCTTCGTTTTATAAACTTATCCGTTATGGTAAAAACTGTAAACAGTGACGTCCCATTGTTTAAGATGTGGTCGGTACTGCTTCCGGCATTTACGCGGTCTCCATGGGCTGAGCGGCCGTCTCCTCGGTGTACTTGCCCTTGTCCTTGCCCAGAGCAGCCAGACGTCCCTTGCCGCGACGATCCAGAATGGCCTTGCGGTCCTTGTCCAGCTTGAGCTTGACAATCAGCACCTTGCTGGGGTGGATTCCAACGTAGACGTTGGTGCCGTTGGCGTTCTCGCGCTGGATCTTCTCAATGTAGACGACGAACTTCTTGCGGTAAGACTGGACGACCTTGCCAACCTGGTTACCCTTGAAGTGGCCACGGATCACCTGAACCTCGTCGTCGCGGCGAATGGGCATGGAGCGCACATTGTATTTCTGACGCAGCTCCTTGGACAGGGGTGCGGACATCAGACGACGGCGGATGTGCGATGGGGCCTGGAAGTGGCGCTTGCGGTTCTTCCTGCGCGACGACGACACAAACTTGTTCAGTTTCATTTTGCTTGGTTGTGCGGGCTGTAAACAAAACATGGACAATCAGTAAAACGATTTCGGAAATCCAGCATAATATCACAAAACACTGCAGTGCTATATTCGGCACTCATTTTCATTGTTCATTTGCAATAATATGCATGGATGGCTCGGCAAATAACAAATTTATCACGAAAACGCACCTACCGTCGCAAATTCAACGAAAAGAAAGAATTTTGACAGTTGACAGTGGATGTCAATAGACTTATCGATAACAGTGTGACCCCAGAAATATACCGAAATATACCGTCTCCCTTCCAAAATATATCGAAAATATGCCGATGAAGAAACGAACTTAACCCACTTAAGCCCCCTATATTTAATCACCCGTTTCTCCTGCGCTAAAATTATTAAATTTTCAATTTTTTCGGTAGAATATTAAAATACACCCTTGGTGTACAATGGATTAATCGGTCTCCGTCAGGGATTGAAAACCATTTTCCTCTACTCTGATATTCGATTTGATATTACTAGCTAGCTAGGAAGGTCATACCTGAAACATAATTGCATCCCATTTTCTTCAAGATTGGCTAATTTTAAAAACTTATCGGATTGGTCAAGAAAAGTCAACAAAAATGCAAAACATTTTATATGGCAACTACACGGCAACAACACCATTGATACATATCAGTAGAAAACAAAACATGTTGATTGCAGTTCTGTTCCGCAATAACGGATTCAACTAATATTGCGGAGCTTTCCCAGTGAGCGTTCTCTGTCAAGTAGTACATTTCAGCCTGCTTTCGCACAAAAGTTGAATTTTTACCTCTTTTTATTTGTAAACAAACACAATAGTGTAACCGTAGAGCATGAACATCTGGCCACACTGATCACCGAGCCAAATATATGGCACTTTCCATTGATGGAAAATTTTGCTGATCTGAGTATTCGGCTTTGTTAAGTTATTAAGTTTTGGGCAAAACTTAGTTTTCTACAATAGATAGATTACAAGCATATGGGCCTAGTCGCTAATGGCTTGACTTATGGCTGCGTTTCAGTTGCGTTAGTCCGATATTCCGAATATTTCCACCCTGTTCGGCCTATCGTGTGAATTTGGCGCGTAAAAATTGTGACTGAGGCAAAAGTGCAAAAATACAAATGACCGTTAAAAACAAAAATACTTAAACTAATTTTAGTTTTAGGTCAACAAGTATAAACTCAAATACAAAGCTATTACGTTAAAACAACTTTCGATGGGTAACTCATGTCAGTGTAATAAGCCGAAACAACCCACACACGCAGAATACATGAGAATACGTGTGCACCCATTCATTTAAGTTCGATGAAACATCAAGCAGTAAATTTAAAAAGAACATATTGTGTGTGTTCCACGATTACTTGCAAATGTGCTGCTGGCGCAAGCCGAAGTCCTGGGAGCTTACGCAGCTAATTCTTTTGGTATCTTTTCATTATATGAACTGACACACCTACATATATACTCTACATGTGTGTGCGTGCGTTTTTGGATTCGTGTGTACGTGCGAACAAAAACCGACAGCAAAAAACCGTGTGAACACAACACCGATATTATTAAAAAAAAAAAAAGTACTGACAAAAATAAGTGTCGTTGTCAGTAGGTTCGCCGAAATATAAGAAATCGCCGGCACTTACAGATGCAATATATAATAATTATAAAAAAAGTTTCGTACTCCATCGGTAAAAAAAAGACATTCTCATAGGTGCGCGCGTAGACTTTTTGTAAACAATGCCGCGAACCAAAGTAATTTTTGCCAAATGTATACTTATTGTGAGCTTATACTAAATGATTTCCTGCATTTTTAGAAGATTTATTGGAGTCCTGATGCCATCAAAATGCTTATGAAGCTGTACAAGGAGCATCCACACCTGTACGACGCGAAGAACGGTCAGTACTTCAACAAAGATTGCCGCGCCGAGGCTTTTCAGCAGATTGTGCTGGAAATGAGGAAAATATACGAATGTATACTGACTACAGACGTGAAAACCAAAATTTGCACACTGAGGAGCCAGTACCTAAGCTATTTGAAAAAGGAGAAGAACTACATTAAAAGTGGTATAGAAAAACCGAATTGGGTGCACTGTGTGGAGTTCCTTAGACCATTTCTGAAGCCGACCGAACGGCAGGAAACTCTAGACGTTGATGTGAGTATAGTTCGGGATCTTGTGTGCTCCAAATGCTGTTATTTTATTCTCTAAATTACACTCAGATAAAACCGGAAGCTGACTCTGACGTTCCCAACTGTTTAAGCAATGATGAAAGTGAAGCTGGTTCTTCCTTCGACCCACTCTTGACCTCGCCCAACGATAAGCTAGACATCATTAGGCCCAAGGCAAGTATTTCTGATATTCTATGTGCATTTATTGATGAACAATTACGTTTTTAGAAGATTCTTTGGAGCCCAGAGGCCATCAGAATGCTGATTGAGCTGTACGAGAAGCGCCCGAATTTATATGACGCCAAGAACGCTCAGTATCGCAACAAACGATTACGGGCCAAATCATTGCGGCAGATTGTGAAGGAAATGAGAAAAATATACGAATCCATAGACACAACAGACATCAAAAATAAGATTGGAACATTGAGGAGCCAATATTTGGTCCATTTGAAGAATGAGGCAAACTACAATAAAAGTGGCATGGAAACGCATGAGAGGATGGCGCCATTCTGTGTGAAATACATAGAGTTCCTCAAGCCACATCTAAGGTTTTCTGAAAGTCAGAGAGCTTCAGAGTCTGATGTGAGTATTTCACGCGATCTATGTACTCGCATGTTGCATTTATTCTCTTCCGATAAAGACAAATCCCACTGAGATAAAACCTGAAGCTGGCATTGAGCTGCCAAGCTGTTTAGGCAATGATCAACATCAGATAGACATACACGAGACTGAGATAAAACCAGAAACTGAGGAGCTTGCAAACTCTTTGAGGGATGATGAAAGTGAAAGTGATTCTTCGTTGGAACCAAACGATATGCTAAAAACCAAAAAGACCAAGGCAAGTATTTGATAGCATTTGGAAATGTTTATACATTGGCTTATCCGCATATTTAGAAGATTCGTTGGCACCCCGAAGCCATCATAGTGCTTATCACGCTATACGAGAGCCGCCCAAACTTGTATGACCCGCAGTACGACGGCTACCGCTCCAAACAGGAAAGGGCGAAGTCTTTGCAGCAGATCGTCAAGGAGATGAGAAAAATATACGACTGCATAGACACGGCAGACATTAAAAATAAGTTCAACACTTTAAGGAGCCAATACCTGGCCCATTTGAAGAAGGAGGCCAACTGCACGACATGGGGCATTTGCACGCGTGTGCCCTTCTGGGTTGAATACATACAGTTCCTGAAGCCCTTTGTAAAATGGTCCGACGAGCAGACTGATGTGAGTGTTTCTCGCGTTTTGGAATATTCCAAAATCTCTATAAATATGGCATTTATTCTCTTCCGATAAAGGAGATAAAACCAGAAACGGACTTCGGATGTCCAAGCTTTTCAAACGACTATGAAAGTGACACTAATTCCTCCTTCGATCCACTATTGAGCAGCACAAACAATCTGCTGGACATCATTCAGGCCAAGGACATTCGTTGGGGACCCGACGACATCAGAAAACTCATAAAGCTGTACGAGCGATGCCCAAACCTATATGATCCGAGCAACGATCAGTATCGAAATAAAAGCATGCGAGCCCACTCGTTTCAGCATATCGTAAGGGAAATGAGATCCATTCACGACCGCTTAGACATAGCAGACATCAACAACAAAATTGCCGCCTTGAGGAGCCAATACCTGTGTTATTTGAAGCAGGAGGAGATCCACAGTAAAAGTGGTACGGTCATGACCACGACGTCCAGACCATTCTGGGTGGCATACATAAAGTTCCTCAAGCCATTTCTCCAGCTATCTGCAGAGCAAAGTTCTTTGGACTACGACATGAATGTGAGTGAAACAATGCTCGTTCTTACATATGTGTTCTAAATGTATTATTTCTGCAGAATCAAACGCAAGCAGAAACTGACTCAGAGGTGCCGTGCTATTTAAGCGAGATTCAAAGTGGACCCACTCCCTCGATCGATCCGCTCTTGGAGACTTTGGAGGATGGTGTGGATAGCACGCGAGTGAACAACAAACGCAAGTTCAAAGCAGACGTAGAGGCATTCGGAGAGCTAATAAAAGCCGAAATGGAACAAATTGAAGATCCCAGCAAGCGCCGAGCCCTACGCATGAAGCTGTTGAAAGTTATAGCCGAAGGCGAGGACTAAAATATGTCAAACTCTACCACAAAATCTCTTCTGTACTTGCCCGCCCGTTATCGTTTCACAGAGACATAAGAAAATATAGTTATTATAATTTCTAGATATTTTAGTCACATTTAATGTTTTATTTAATAGTAAAAAGTCAATTATTTAGAGCTGGGTGATGTATCTGATTTATATAAATGTAGCCTTTACCATATAGTATACCATATGCACTACCGCGCCAAAGACCGTTTTACAAACATTTACAAAAATATCTTGTATTGCATTTTGTCTTTCGATAAGATTAATAAACTCTATTACGTAAAATATGTATGTGTGTGTTTGTCATTTGTTTGTTCCGTGACCGGAAACTGAATTTTGTGCAAAAGTATTTCAGTATTTCAGGGTTTACTTTACGTATAAGTACATTAAGATTCGTTATACATATTTCTGTCAGTGGAGTGGAGGATGTGCATTGGATTGGATTCGATTGGAGCAGCGTTCAATATATGTACAAATATTTTTTTTAAAGCTATCATTCGCGTGTGTGTGTGTGTGGGGCGTGCCATCAAGAACATATACTAGCAAACAAGAAAGAAATCGTCGTTAAGGATGCGTTGAGCAATTTAGCAAGTATTAGCGTTTGTTTAAATGGAAGCATTGGCTCGTTTCGTTTCGTTTTGTTTTGTGTTGTTTTGTTTCATTTCATTTCATGCGCTTTCGCTTTCGCTTCCGCTTTTGGAATCCAAATGACATTACTACAATTAAATAAATAAAGGCAAAACGCTTGCTTAAATTAAAAGCATTACACGTTGGCACGCGCCTAGGCCTATCGGCGGAAGCGGCCCAAATACGCCTTGCAGTTGGGGCACGTGTGATGGACATCCATGCAGTCGTCGATGCAGCAAGGTATCAGGCAGCATCCCAACCAGCATCTGAAGACAGGAATGGAGGGCATGAGCATTTCAGAGGCTTTACAATGCAATCACATTCACAATCACTTACCCCAGCAGTGCAATCACAAACCCAGACAAATAGGCAATCATGCCGGGCTCAGTTCGTGTGGTCGTCTCAATCTCGGCATGGCATGACGGACAGATCATATGCGTCGATGTGCGGCTAATGGGTACCACTGTGGTCACAATCGTGGCATTTCCGGCGGTGGCGGGCGCCACCACGGGAGTGTACGGGCCCACTGGCTTCACGCCGCCCACTGCCTCCTGGTACGACGGCGGTGCAGATGGCGGCGGCACATACGTGAACTGGGGTGGTGCATTGCCCGTCGACTTGCTCATTGTGTTAGGCTAGTAAATGCACTTAGCGTTGAAATAACTGAAAGCAAGAAGGGTTCGCTTCATTATTGTACTTGTAAGGCATTTCAGAGGTTAATTCACGCGTAAGGTAAACATCGAAGATATATATGTAGCTGAAAATAGCACGGCAGCATCCACTGCCCCGCCATGAGTCACAACATTTCTCGTCTTTTGGCACGCATTCTAATGTATATTCACAGAGAAAGAGAGAGCGAGAGAGAGCACAACGCAAATGAGATTCTCCTTCAGAACGAAATCCCCGACATGCGTCGGAGCCCATACCCTGCCGCGTAGCTCTGTCAATTAGCAATTGAAATTCCATTGACAGACATGCAATTGAGGGCAATAATCAAACGGAGCTTGCCACTGTCGGTACGGACCGGACTCTGTTGGAGGAGCAAGGGCTGATAAGATATGGTAAATGGAATTGACACGATCACTCAAGACAACAAACGCCCCACCGCTTGGCCCCCTCTCAGACAGTGTCGTGTCCCTCTTTCTGTCTCTGCCAACTTTCACCAGTCACACTGGGTGCTGTGCTATTCCAAATGTACATACGTACATACATATGTACATATGTACGACTGCAGACGGAAGTAATGCAGTTGCTGTAAACCAGATATGATGTTACTTATATCTTGGCCAGAACGCCCAACCACAACCTGCTGCCTGTTGGTGCCGCACAGCGGAAATTATTATAGAATTCAATGCTGATTTCCGTCTGAGATGTGTGGGCCCTCAATGCAAAATGAATGAATCAGGCAGTACTGCAGCTATGATTTGAGTTATATTTCATGATTGAAACTCCCTGTGGCCAAGCCTATTTGGAGATTATTACTGTACAAAAACTTCCAGACATCCCAGACATCAACAGCAGATGCAGGCTTGCGTCAGCTTTCAGTCTCAGTGTCAGCTGGCATTATCTGAAAAGCTTAGACGGATCTTTGCCTTGGAAATGCGATAACCTCATGATATTTAAGCGCAAGCTTGAATGTGAAATATGTACCTCAAAGTTCCAGATAATGAAATTAAATCCACCAAATAATTTCTGACATCACACTTTTCAAGGAAGATTTTTCCAGTTTTCAGCTAGAGGTATATAGGATCTTTGATCGAGAGATAACTATAATACCCTCCTCTTCTAGGGTATATTTTAATTAAATTCTGTGTGCTCTGTGTGTGTACAAATTGTGCACAAGGTCTTCTTCTCTTCTCATCATCGTTTAGTGTGTTTCCCAATCGGACGGGATTTGAAATAAGGCCTTAATGTGGATTTAATTTTAGCATTTGTTTTAATTTCAGACACTGCTTACGTGTTAGGCCATGCCCTGGGTGAACTATAGAAATGGATGGGCATGGGATGTGACTCAATTAAATAAGCTGTTTGCCACTTGCAGGCCAAGGATAATTGGGGGAAATTATAATTAAATGAATGATAAATTGCACAGAATGCAATTATTTTCAATGGAGTACGGGGACGACCTTGCGTACGCCCTTTGAAACAAACCCGCTTTGTGGACACAGGGAGCCAGACATCAACAGTTGGGAAAACAACATCAACTCGATTGGTATTGTATGGGGCTGTATGTGACTACTTCCCTCCTCCCTCCCTGCCCAAACACATTATCTTCGGAACAGATGTTACTGACTGATGCTAGAGATGACGTAGTCGCACCAAGAATAGACACCGTCAGGGTCGGAGGAGGGGCGGCAGAGTACAACAAGAATGAAGGCGGCTCTGCTCTGGGTGTGAGTTGATGGACAGCATTGCCACATTCTTTGCCATTTGCGGGGGTGCAGGTGGCCAAGGGAAAGGGAAAGGGCTTGCGTGTCGCTGCAGCTAAAAACACTTCAACGTACGAGAATATGTGTGCTTTATTGCACTTAAGAGCCTTGGATTACTAAGCCATATACTCCCTCCCGTATATCGTGACGCCAGCCAATTTAATTTGCGCTAATTTTTAATGTATATTTTTGTACGCGGGCGCACACTAACCAAAAACAACACACACACACACGGCACACACTTAGTATTATTGGTTCAAAGCAGATCAGTGCATTGGTATGGGTATATGTATGATTGTGTATCTAAATATTTGTACATGTATTTGGGAATGTATCTTTATCTGCGATGTATGTTGATCTGTTGATATCCAATTTTAATTTTGATGTAGTTCACTTATTTGCACAGCCTTTGTTGTGGCAACTAAAAAAAATGTATGCTACGTCGCCATGGAAACACATTTATTCGCAAATTTTGTTTTGAAAACGATCATTACCTCGAAATAGCAAATTGTAGCAACGTTTTTTGACGCGTTTCTTTTATGAAGTGGGACCGCGGATTTATCGTTCAAATATACCGTTCGACCCTCAGAAATATACCAAAACATAGCGTCTCATATTTTAAAAAATACTGTAAATATACTGACGAATTCAAGTTCTATTACACATATTCCTAGATTTTGATATTCCGTCGAATATTACTAGCTATCTAGATCTCTCAGGCCTGCCCACATAATTTTATCCGATTAATGAATTTATTTTCTACTTGACTGGCTCATTTTAAATACTTGACTTTGATTTTTTTTGCGTCAATTCCTCAAGAACGATATATGTAGCGTCTCGTAGGATGAAAAACCGAACTTAGCCCACTTAAGTCCCTTTTTTTTAAATAGTTCAACTACTTGAGATAAATGGCGGAAAATATTAACGATTGTAAGTCCTTCTTGTAGATTCATGCAATCTTTCCTCTGAACTTGAAAATTAATAAATTAAATTTAAATACTCCCTTGGCTTATAATAGGTTAATCGTTCTCCGTCAAGGATTGGAAACCATATTGCTCAATTTTGATATTCCGTCGAATATTACTAGCTAGATAGAACATTTAGCCATGCCCACATAGCTTAATCTGATTAATTGACCCATTTTCTGCTTTACTGGCTTATTTTAAACATATGCTTTTGTTTAATTTTTTGTTTTAAAAAAAAAAAAAAAAAACGAAAGTGGATATTCGTTCTTATTGGTCAATTTGTATATTCCGTCAAAACTTACTAGCTTGGTAGAACTTGAAAGAAGCTTGATATATTGATGAATCATTTTTCTACTTAACTGGCTTATCCTAAATACTTGCTTTTATTGGATTTTGTCTAAAAAAAGTTTTAGCACAATAGGGCAAACAAAGAAACGAAAGAGGATAATCGTTCATATTGATAAATTTTTATGAATTGATTAATGCTGGCTTACTAAAACCCTTAGTTCTGCCGACATAATGTTAAGCCATTGATGAATAAATTTTCTACAAGATTGGCTAGTTTTTTGTCATTGCTTTTATTGTATTTTGACTAAAACAAGGTTTAAACAAAAAATTTCAACAAAACAAAACAAAAACAGTCGCAATGTGGCTTGTATTTGAAGACATCTTGCGTGTAAGCAGTAGTATATGTAGGTCTTTGTGTACTCTATTTCGTGAATTTAATATGAAGATGACATGAAGATAAAACTTAATTAATAAAGCCGTTTCTCAAATTGATATGTTTTATACATATTCATACATTAGTATCATGTGTGTATATATATCAAAATCCCAATACCATTTCTTGGTCTCTGAAAAAAGAAAGTGAACTGCAAAATATCGTTGTTATAGCTTCAAAACATAGACTAAATTTACTCAATTCTATAATGTCTAATATACCTCTACACTCGTGTACAGGAAGCTAATCATATGCAGGTGAAACATATTGTGTTCGTCTTTTTAAGTAAAGATGAAGAATGTGATGGATCAACAAGAATAAATATAATTATGTGACATTATTTTCCGCGGCTTATCTCGAGCTGTTATCCTGTTTAAATAAGGGCGGTTTAAATTGACTTAGTTCGTTTTTTCATCGGTATATTTACGGTATTTTTTGAAAACGTTATATTTCAGAGGGTCTTCCTGCAACGGGAAAATGAGTCCTAGTTTTGAATGAGCTATGGAAAGGTATGGACAACAAACAAAAATTGCAAAGCTCGTACGAACATCACCCTGTCGGTTTTTGTCGAACAATATACCTTGAACACCAAATCTGCTTTTAGTCTCCAAGTTATGTTAGGCCAAAGGGGTTAATTTTACCTTGCCTGCGTTGCCTTTTCGCGGCCGTGTTGCCTATTGTCCATACCCTCTTTTTACTCAGAAATTCTGTTAATATGTAGCAAATGTGTAGTTACCGTTGAGTTTAAAAGCCGAAAGCTGTAGACATGTGGTACTATAATTGGTATTGATAAGTTACTTTTAGTTTTTATTTGATATAGACCACATATAATATTTCTGTATAAACTTATTTTTTCATGTGGTTGGGAGCCTTTTACCACAGGTTGAAGTATATCATACATTACCGAAACTGGTTTTGGTAACTATAACGGTTTTAATACGGAACGACGCGATTTTTGTCAATGAAAATCGGCAAAAATGCATTGCATTTTATCGTTCAAGAAGTTCAAGAAATTTAAAATTTTTGTATCGATTCTTTTTTTACATTTGATCGATTTCAGCTGAGAAAATCAGCTGATTTTTTTTACACTTTATCGATTTCAGCTGAATTTATTTTCTTGCCACCATGTCTAGCTCACACTCTTTGCAAATTGTATACTTTTCATAGTATTTTCCAGTATATTTTAAGTCGCGTTATCGACTCACCCTCTTGTCCAATCCACCAATGTAGACATCGTGTAGAAATGCCATTTAGAGCCATGTCCCAGGCCACATCGAATAATTCGTGATCAGCATCGAATTTCTAATTGTTTGCCATCAAAATCTTAATTTTTTAAAAAATGTCCGAAAAAAGGCATGTACAAAAATTGAGGTTTTTCACAATGGCGCTTCAATGAAAAAAAACGGGCAAACATTTTTGAAACGTCCACATTTCCCCTTCAGATGTCGCCTTTGGTAATTCATACGTAGCAAACGTGTAGTCAGCGTGTAGTTACCATGTAAGGACATGAATTTAGTGGAAATCGTTGTTGAGTGTTTTTGCTTAAAC